CGAACAAAATATAGTAATTAATCACAGATTCCTGTCAAGCTAGTATAGTTAGTATACCACAGCGATTTGAATGTATAATTTGAATGCGAATGTAGTGTTATCATCAAGCATATTGTAAATCATCAATAGTTTTAGAGTAGTATATATATTACCATATTACCAAATTACTTTATGTTATCCGCTTAACACATGTACAAGTTGTTGGAATATACACGATTTCAGATGCAAGGCAATGTCAATCTAATTTCCACATTTTATTACTCTAATACTTCTCCAATACTCTCAAAATAATACATATCGAGTAACGACTAAATTGGAAAGTAATGCGACATTTCAATGTCTCAAATATCGTTATAGTAATGGTTCGCATCATTCCCATCACCATATTAGCGATTTTCTTACGGCACAAAGCAGTCATGATCTGAAATATTAATAACGAATTGATTAGATTGATTACTTATAATTATCACCCCAAGCCTCAGTGGATGTTACTCATATAACAACTTTAGATGTTTACGTAAACACGCTTTACTAAAAAATAACAAATTGGCCAGGAACGTTTTCAAGTTTATCTCTAAAATCAACTCAATTAATATATAATAAAGAACACATGACTCGGTATATTTTTCGGGAATCTGTTTTGAAAATCATTCTTCTATAATAAATACGAAAGTACGAAAGTATACTTTTTACTTTCCTATGTATTATCGTCATCATTCAAAATAAAAAAAAAAACATGTACATCTTAGAAGTAAAAGTACAAGAAGTAATTTAAAATAAACTTAATGCTTCATGCCCATCTGATAAGATGCAATAAGCAACCAAATATAATATAGTATTAGTCACCCCAATTCACATCATCATCAACTTCAAGAAAAGATAGTTTGTATATGGAACTTACCATATTCACAGACGTATTGCTTTATTTTCGTGCAATCGTCATCGTCCCATTTGAAGGCTCTTCTTTCCCTAATAAGAAAAAGTAAAACATTTTAGTCGGCATACAACACTCGATCAAAAACAAGCAGTTGCATATAACTGTCAACATGTTTTAGAATATATTTAAGAACTTAAATAAATAATTAAGTTTGCAATGTTATGTGGTCAATGCTATCCTTATTTGTTCTGATTGCAGT